CAGGGAGTATAGTGTGGACGTCACCTACCTACCTCATCATAAAAACTACAGATGCCTTGTCTCCATTAGGATTTTACAGTGAGATAACGATCACACATTTGTTATCTTGTGGTAAAAACACCTTTATGTCAGTGAAGACAAAGCCTAAAGAGGCTGATTGTACAAATTTTTACGCACATGTGTAACTTTAACCCTGTGAGTAGACATAAATGGAACTACTTAAATGAGCAAAATTACTCGCATACATAAAGTGTTTTCAGGATGAGGCCCTAAAAAGACAAGAGATACAACATGCAAGCAAAACAGAGAGGATGATGACTGGTACACACGCAATTCATTCAAGTTTTTAAAATATACCTTTAATGACATTTTATATGAATTTTCTTGTTTTTTCTTATTTTCTTTAAAAATACATGCATATTATTGTAAATTAATTTCCCAGTCTCCAAATTAAATCTAGATTTTAATTAAATGTAAATGACAAATTCAAGCATGACTGACTGTTAGATTAGCTCACACTTTAATTTGACATTTAAATGTTGCTTTTTTAGAAATTGTTACATTGGTAGATTTGAACATTGAAATGGTTACCTGGTTTTAAAGTTTTGCTTTTTTTTTGTTTTCCAAACCAGGCAAACTGAGCTGGCCACACTAGAAAGAAATCATCAGAAAAATGTATTTTAAAAAGCTGATGTGATTTGGAGTCATATGATATGAACTTGTTCTGTTCAATATAACTCCTACTCCCTACTTTCAAAAAAATTCCTCTGTTCTGAAATCAGTCCAGTAGCTATTGGAAGTGGTTACAGACATGAATTCCGTTTTGTTTATGAAAACGTTTTGGACAAAGCGTTGATTGTCAAGGATTTATGCAAAGAATTAAAACCTATGAAATGTTGGCATAACAGCTATGTAGAGCATAAAAATGACATACACATGAATCACAGTTTCTTGGCGCAGTTATTTATAGACATAAAAAAAAAGAACTTTGCTTAAGACAAAACTAATCAGCATAGTTCTCATTTTTATAAGTTTGCATTTAGTGTCTTGTGAAATAAGAAAAATTTGGGTCAATTCTTGGGGCTAGTTTTACTGTGTCAGAAAGGGACGTATTAGCCCCAGATGGCTGCATAAGGAGGCTGGATACAAGGCTAACTGATCTGGAGGGCAACTGGCCTATGAGTAGGCAGAGGGCAGCAAGGACAGATTCATATTCACTCAGTGGCAGGATGTGCAAAGTTTATTGAGAGGTAGGATATTTGTGCAGGAGACCTCCTCTCTCCATTACCCAAGTCATTTCTCTATGGGTGAGATGGGGTTGGATTTCCTAATTTTTTCATGGAGTAAATAATTTTAGCAGTACTTCAGGAAGAGATGCACAGGGGTACTCCCTCCCTCACTAACCAAAACTGAAGAAAGAGGTCTTTTTACTCTCGGGGATGGATTTGCTCCTTAAAATACATGGCTGCATTTTGGTGTATCTTTTGGTGAATCTCTAAACACCCCTATGTTCAGAGAAAGGTGAGGGTTTTGCCTGTCAGATGTACAATACCCCTGAATGAGTCAGAATGATGAGTGATATCTACCATCTGTAGGTTGGTCAGGTATTTGAAAAATACCTGTGGGTATCAGGTTTCTCCATCCAGTTGACCCATCGCTGGCAAAATGCAGGAACCTCCCTTTGCTCCATCACTGCTACAATCCACCCACCTGTCTGTGCTTGCCCTGGAGAAGAGATGAACTGAGAATTCAGTCACAGACAGTTAAAATCAGAATTAAAAATAGCAGTCAAGGTTGAGAGATAAGTGCCCAACTGTCACTGAAACGCAGTAGGAATGAGGTGCCTAATTCCCTTGGGCCTTTTGAACATCCCAGTCTTAGTGCCTAGTCCTCACAGGGATTAGGCTAGACCTGCAGGTGATAAAGACCTATAGTCATTATAGGTTTCCTTTGTTTAAAGCATGTGGTTTAACATGTTTTGTATAGTTTCATTGTACCTTAGTCAGAACTTCTAGTGTAAATTCATGCAGTCACCTCATAGGACAAAAAAAGGTGTGGCCTTCTGCCCAGCAAAACAAGCCGACCAGGTACAGTTTATAGGGCCATTCTGGTTTTGAAAACGGAGGACTTGATTCCCTGCTGCATTGATCCTTTTCGATAAAGGGGTAATTTCACTGAAATCACTGATGTCATACTGGGGTAAAACAGGAGGAACAGCAGGGTGAATCAGCCCTACAGACTGTACAGAGAATTTTTTCCTTTCTCTCTTCCAGTAGCAAATGACAACATTATTGCCAACTACCCACACTCAACACTATAATTAACCTAGCTGTGGCAGGACTTCAAGTGCTACATTTGACATGTCTGAGGAGCAAGTGAGCGAACAGACTGAAATGATAGTCTCTTAAGTCACTTTGCTGGCCACCTGTGCTCGTGGGTGCATTTTTGTTTTTGTTTTCCAGTGAAAACACAATCATACAAAATGTCCAAGAAAATAGTGAAGACTTGGGCTTACGGTAACCGCCATAAGACTAGGCATCTGCAGCTGCATCTTTAGAAAAGCCAACCAAACTAAACGCTCGGGGCTCAGGTCTACAGCCATGGCACACACAAAACTCTAATTGAATTACAGGTGGGTAAAAGCTCCCCCACCCCCGCCCCTCCCAGGCCAAAATTTTCAAACTTCAGTGCCCACATTTAGGCTCCTAAACACACATTTATGTTTTAAACAGAATTGTATTGATGTTCAAAGATGCCGAACCTTCACAATGCTCATTAACTTTCGCGAGATTGATAATGGCTCAGCAGCTTTGAAAAATCAGGCCCATAGAAATGATGTAGGCTCTTAGGAGCCCAACCTGCATACCCGCCTTCTTTGAAACCTTTAGCCCAGAATTGTTTTGGATATTTACATTTGAAGAACTCTGTTTTCTTTTAAGTGACGCTTTTAATCCTTGATCAGATCGTTTAGCTGTTTCTGAGTATTATTATTTCATACCAATAATATTATCTAAATAATTTTTCACATGCAAAGAAAAACCAGATTAGGAAAAACGAAACAACAGCGGGCAGAGCCCAATGAAGATGAGCTAGCAACAAAAAAGTCACCTTAGACAAAGATTAGCAATATAGAGGGTTAAACATACACGAGTAGGGCTGGCCCCTTCACACATCCCGGTTATCATTCATCAGACTGTACATGGGAGATCTGACCTGGAGATTCTTCACTCAGAGTGGTCAGTAAGTTGGACCATTCTGCTTGTGGGTCTCTTTGCCATTGTCTGAACTGCTCATAAATTTATTTGACATTAATAGGATCATTTGTGAGTGAGAACTACTCACATGCATGACAACTGGGCCCTAAATGTGGCATAAAAAACACAAAGTAAAAAAAAAAATAGAGCATGAGGTTTGATGGGGGTGGGGTAAGAGGAGTGACTAGAAAGGGCAAGAAGAAAAGGAATATTTGCTCATGGGGGAGTATTAGTGGAACAATGTGCAGAGAATACGCAATTCTATCATGCTATCATCAATTAGGCCTACATTTTCAAAAGTGACTAGTGATTTTGGGTATCTCAATTTTTGGGTGTCCAACCCAAGGCACCTAAAAGGGGTCCGGTTTTCAGGAAGTGACAACAACCCAGCCTCTGAAAAATCAAGCTTTTTAGAGATGTTTCAGTTTGGGCACCCAAAACTGAGGGGTTCAAAATCCCTGGTCACTTCTGAACATCTGGTGTCCTTGGATAAGTGATGGAAAGCCTTCAAACGTTAGGAAATTTGGTTCCACCAGACAAAGGTTTAGTTTTCTTTTTATTTTGTCTAAATAAGTTCAGCTATCCCTGCCATGGCTACCTGATACTGACCAATAACAGCTGAGTCTTTTTGGTTATCATGGCCCTAAGCACTCTGCACAAAGCTAGACCTATATTCCACAGCAAGGCCCCCTGGTTCTCTGATATATCCCAGTGCTGAATTTGCAGCACTTTGGAAATTCTCTGGCAGCTTCAAGTAAATTCAAATTCTGATGCTTTAGTTGTATCATATTTGAAAAATAAATCTTGCAACCAGCATAATATTCCATGTGCTAACTATTTCGGTACTAGAGTCACCTGATTTTATACTGCCCCCAAATTTTCCATTCACAGCAGATTTTTGTATCACCAGTGTCTAACTGCATCAGAATGGTGGTGGCTTTGGTAGAAAGAGAGTTTTAACCCTTGAGAAGCTGTAGGCAGCAGTTTCAGATTTCATATCCACAAGGCAGTTGAATCTGTTGTCAGTAAGGAAGTTCTGGACTTCCTCTTTCATTCACCCTGAGAGGACAAGGTTAGAGGTGACTTGAACACCTTGGAAAGTGGAACTCCAAGTTTCCTACTCCAGCAACCAACCCCAGCCCCCATCTCCCAGTCTCAATATCCTCCAATGCACCAAACAATTATGAATAAGCACATTAGCTAGATGCTTCAGCTAAAATGATTTGTGTAAAATAGTTAATGTTGATATTTAAAATGCCATCATTAAGCTTCAGCATTAACACCCATGACATGAGGCAATTCCCACATTTCAGGAACTATTATTTCAGGCTACCTGACTTCTGTATGCTTTCCTATCTCTTTGAGCGTGCAAGTCAATTGAAGAGCTTGGAATAGAACTCAGAGGTCCTGATGCTTAGTGCCTGTCTCGAGCCATTAGGCCACAGTCCTTCCCATTAATTTAAAAGGTTCCTGCCAGCTTGTAATGTATTTTTCCAGGATTGGGACTTCTTTCTTCTTTACTCTTTACAAAGTTTTCATCAGTGGAGGTGTGACTATTTTTTGTACCTTTGGGAAGACTAGCAGGATGAAATTTGAGAAACCCTGCCACAAAGATTGGATATCAGGCCATTCTGTGACTTTCCATAACCGTACTGCTCTGTAAACTTTGTATTTGTAAAACACACTGCCTTGTGCACTGAGCTGATGGAGCAGTGCCTAGATTGATGGCTCATATGTTGTTTCCAGGTTCTGGCATACAGCTGAGACCAGGGGAGCCTGAGGCTGAGGCTGATACAGAAGAAGACGATTCTGTGAGTAATGTTACTGTTTACTTCTGAAAGCTTGAGAATTAATATTTTATTTACAATTTTTTTCACAAAGATGTGTCATTATTTCTGTTAAGGAGACATCGTGACGGCTGGATTGGCCTTCTGATAAACTGATGTTCAGATATACAGAATTTCAAAGGACAGAATTTGGGGCAGTGTAACGTGCATTAGAGTAGGGCTCTTTGCATTAAAGGGAGGGCTTTTCCCTCTCAGAGATTTGTAACATGCCAGTAAAAGTTATATTCTACGATATAGCAAATTCTCGTTTTCACAGTGGTTGAATTTTTGTTTCAAGGATGGTCCAACTTGTCCACTGGCATGATCTTCTTCAGAGACCCCAGAAGGAATTTTGCTGAATCAGCCAAAATTCCTCCTAGGAATTCCAACTGCTATGAGGCTCCACTGCACATCTGAGGTTACTGGGGGCATAATTTAGCCCTAAAGCAAGGGGGGAAAGTCGTCATAACCTCTTGTGATCATTATTTCTGTCTAATCTGTTTGGATTTCAAATTATCCTTAGTTCAGAAAGACATTGTGAAAGCATCTTTTCTGTTTCCAAGAACTATATCCTCTGTTATTTACATCAAATTCTTAAACAGGAATTATGTTTGCCCCAAAAGGAAATAACAAATGGCCATTCTGCAGCCACCATCACCGGTATCAGGCTTGCACAGAGAGGAATTTTATATTATATTTATTGCCTCCCTACTGTTGCTAAATGATGACCATTATTTCCCCTCATTTCTTTCCCGCAGGTCAATGAAGTGACAATAGAAAACATACGGCCAAGGCCACAAGGATCCTCTCCAGTTTATGAGTATTCCATAGAAGAAGAATATTTTAACAAAAAGGCAAGACATAGATAAGGTTTTCATGTTACACTCAATTCATTTTTAGCTAAATTCTCATCTTGTGGGGCTTATTAGCAAAAATCCCATTGACTTCCATAGTACTAGAATTTGGACCTGTATGGAAAAGTATGTTGAAATCCACACCCTCACCTTGTCAATCCTTTCCTAGCCCTTTTAGTTTACCAAATAGTGCGTATTACTTGTATTTATGGGCAGGAGAGTTTCAGGATTCAGCTGACATTTCATTGTGAAGAAAAAGCATGTTCAGTAATATATACATTACATTAAGAAAATATTTGGTTTTCTATATGAAAATGTAAAGCATTAAAGGATTTTTTCCTAATTCTTTCCTGATTGGAGGGGGGGTGGAGAGTATCAGGAAACAACTTTCTGGAAGATATAACCTGTAAAAAAAAAAAGCCTAAGATCAAGTTTATATAATATAGTCTTTGGAATTATCTGTATTTCTTGGTTAATTAAAGGGTAAAGATTTAATTAGTGTGATACTGTACGAGTGTGACTCACCACTGAAGCAATCTCTCGTGGCCACATGGAATGCCACAGGATCCTCCCTCTCTTGTCTCTGACAAATGGCTATTTGGGTGCGCCACCTCTTCTTGTGACTCAGCCCTCTGGCTGGAGCATAGATAGTCCGACCCTCTTTGGGATAACCCAAGAGTCCAACAAACAACAGTTCACTAACCTCATGTTGGGTTTTCAACCCAGCTCCAGATTCATTAGCCTGAACCCTGGGGTAAGGGGGCTTTCCACACACCTTCCTCAACCTTCCCTCACCTCTGGGTTCCAGTCCAGGAACCCTTTAATAAGCAGCCAAGGTGTGTCTTCATAGACCCCCTGCTGCCTCCTTGGACCACATCCTTCCTCCACCTGTCTTGAGCCTTTCCCACAGCCTTGTCCAAGGCTCATTGTCTGTCAGCCTCTCTCTCTTTCTCTCTCTGACTCTAGACCCCTTTCACAAGCTCACTGCAGAGCTTTAGCACTTTCTGCCACTCATGTGGCTTTGCTGCAGGAGAGTTTCTCTACTCCCCTAGCAGGGCAGTTCCTGACCCTGTGGGAGTTTTCTTGTCCTCCACCAGCATGCAGAAGCCTGGGAAACTCACTTCCTCCATCTTGCCTTCACAACTGCCTTGTACTCCCAGTTGCAAGCTATCCTGCCTTCCTTCAGGGAGGCTCTATCTAGCAGCAGGCCAACACAACTACCTGGATGCAGACAGTCTTCTGCCCCTGAATCAGAGCCAGACATCTGCTCTCCTTCCTGGTCGGTACCCCACTGAGCTTTTAGCTCCTCCCTCTAAGTTTGACAGCTACTGCAGGTGTAGTGGGGTAAAGCTGATTGAGCCCACAAGCTCTCATTTCATCCTCCTTGCACATTGTGGGGTTATACACAATGCCCAAGGTTTCCCGGGATTGTCCCTTTTTTGAGGTAGCTGTCCCAGATAAAATAGTTCAGATATCCCCCCCCTTTTTTTTTACCTCAGACATGCATGTTTAGACGAGCATGATAGATCCACAGCGTGACTGACATACAGTTTGTTCCGGCAAAAAAATGTGAAATCAAAATATATGGGAATTCTTGTCGGTTTCACCTAAATGGCTTGGTTGTAAAAATATTCTGTAAAAGGATTTCTCATTTTGAAACGCCTTTTAATTTTATTTACAATATTTAAAAATGTTAAAAATTCTCAAAAACAAAATGAAGCACGGCGTGTTTTGACTGAGCTGAAAGGATGATTTTTTTTTTTTTTGCTTTTTAAGTCACCAAAAATTCAAAAAAATTTGTTTTCAGTTTGAACTGAAACTATTTTTTTTAATTGCCAGCAAACCGAACAAACTGCACAGCTCCTATCATGTGGTTAAATCCACACACACTGAACTGAAAATTAACATTATAGACTCCAATGGAGACATCCGCTCCTGGTTTTTAAAACAGTAATAGACTTCAGTGTGAATTATGAATTTTAGCTCTCACCAAAATATAGGCTAAGAGCCCTGTTTTGAGCAAGGCAGAGGCCATATAATCTCTGTGTGAACTTTACAATACTATCTTAGCTGAACGCTAAATAATTACAATTGCTTTTCCAGCTACAAGAAGAGACAGAGAACAAAAAATATTCTACAGAAAAACAAAAAATGAGTCATTCACAGGTGAGTTTAAAAGGTTACACAGAAAGCAAATTTCATTAGAAAGTGCAAATATGGCAGGAGTAAATAGAGGAGAAAGAGCAATGGATTCAGATGAGTTTGGGCAACCTGCTTAATAAATAAGATTCCTATTGTATACTTTTGTATATTGTATACTGTGTAAGTCACAAGAAATTACCGCATCATGGGAATGTATGCACCGCTGTTATTTTCCCCTTCCCAATGGAAAAAACTTCGTTATAATGTAAAGCTCCTGCCTTAATGGGGTGGGGTAAAGAGAGAGTATGATCTTACATACCACACCTCTGTAAAAACCCCAGAGCAATTTTTTACAGTTAGACTCTTTGTTTTCTACAGTATAAAAGCTTCACAGGTGTGTGTGACACACCAGGGTACAATCCAGACTGATGAGCAGCTGTGTCATCCCTGCCCTGCAACCTTGGGAGCCTTATAATGCCTTGCTAAAGTAGCTCCCACCTGGTTGCTCACAGTCTTCCAGCATGCAAGCCACACCCTGAGTGTATGTAACTGTAGCCTGCTGGCTACATGTGGGTGACACTCTGGTTCGCACCAGCTTTGACTATACTGCAGAGTAACCCCAACACGCCCACCCCCATCTTAGATTTTCCCCAGAAATATATGTTCTGTACTGCCCAGCACACTCCTGGACAATACAAGTTATATTAAGTCCATTATTCCTTTATGAGACTAATATGCACACAACTTGAACCAAATGGAGTGGGGGTGGAGTGAGGGCAGAAAGAGGCGGGGCCTTGGGGGAAGGGATGAGTGGGGACAGGGGGCGGGGCCCAGGCAGAGCCAGGGGTCCAGCACCCCCCGGGCACATTGGAAAGTTGGCGCCTGTACAGCTTGGGACTGGGGCAAATGAAATGAACTTTAAAGAGAGGACCCAGCCCTTCCTCCCTGAAGCTCTGTCTTTCTGCTGCCCGAGCAGGACTGAAGCTGAGCAATCTCGCCCCTATCCAACACAACACTTAAGCATCTGCTTAACTTTAAATATTTGCACAGTCCCACTGGAATGGAGTCAAGGTGTTCAGCACTTTGCCCATATTGTATATATAAGTTCCCATTTTTAAGCAAACTTTCTTGAGGGAGATATGGTAAGTATGTCCGAAGGTGCTCATTTTTTGTGTGAGGAAGATTTCAGTATAGTTTCAAGTGGTCGGTGTGAATTAACAATGAATTTTAACATGACATCTTTCTGGGCATCTAGGCGTCTATGGAGGTGACCCTGAAAACAGAAGTGGAATCTGGTGCTAGCGGTTTTAGTGTGACTGGTGGAGGAAGTGAAGGAATATTTGTAAAACAAGTGCTCAAGGAATCCCCTGCTTCGAAAATATTCAGTTTGAGAGAAGGTACAGTCTGATATTCTGGATTTTTTAAAAACACTATTATCTAGAAATTTGATAAAAATTAAAAATCACAAAGTTTGTGTATAAGTACACACACACAATCATATTTTCAGTTACTAGTAAAAATAGGTCCCCGTCCTGCAAACACCTATACACATGTTTAACTTTACTCCCATGAGCAGTTTGCAGGCTCAGTACCTGAAATAATAATGAAATATGGATTTCCTACAAATCATGGAATACACTACTCTTCACTAGAACTAGTCAGTAATTTATATACATATATATATATACATACACACAATTAATTCATTAAATTTCAAAGATAAAAGTAACTTACATCTATGAAGACTGTGGCCCAATATGCAGTAAGCCTTTTATGAACTATTATGTGCATGAATACACAATAATACAATAAATAATACTATTTAAACAAATAAAACTCCAAAGCATACATATTAAAACAAATCATGATATGCTTTATATAATCATCATATGTTTATGACCCTTCATGTTTATATGATCATCAAGAAAAATGTGATCTGAAAAACTGCATGATATAGCAAACTGATATCTTAAAATAAAATGTCTGGTACCATTTGCAGGTGATCAGCTATTAAGTACCACAATATTTTTTGATAATATCAAATATGAAGATGCACTCAAGATTCTACAATATTCCGAGCCATACAAAGTACAATTCAGCCTCAAAAGAAAACTTGGTGGGAAAGAAGAGCTAGAAAAAATACATTCTACAGTACAACCCAAGAAGGAAAAAATAACTCAGGTAAAATTATTTCTGTATCATGTTAGAAAGAATAGGAAAATACTACAAACGTCCATTATATAGTACCATTGGAGATGGGAAAATACAGGCCCTTGTCCCGCAAACACACACATGCTTCACTTTACTACCTTTATGATACTGTTGGACAAAACCTGCAGTGCACACTCAGGGTGAAATCCGCTCCTATGCAGAAAACCAGCACAAAAACTATGCACCTCTTCAGTCCAAATTAAGCCCTGTCTACAAGGGAGTATTTCACTTAAGTCCTTAATCAAGCTAAACTTACATTGAATATGATGGTAGTTTAGTTTTGTTGAAGGGAGGACTCAGAGTCTGACCCAGCTTCCATTTCAGTGAATGGAAACAGGAACAGGTCCAGAGTGAGAAAGGGATTTGGTTCTTCGACTATAAACTAGTGATAGAGAAAATATAAAATCATCAAACAGTAAGGACAAATTTTTAGAAGATATTTTTAGTCACAATGTTTTAGAGTTCAACTAGGTATCCTAGGGATCTGAGACTGCTCCAAATGAAGTCAGTATTAGCCATGGTTGGAATATTTCAACATATAAAATGTCAACAAAAAATGGCTTTTCTTTTGAGCACCTATAGTCAATACTGGTTTAGTCACTGACATCTGTCACAACAGAATCTAATCATGGGTTTCCATCTGATTAAAATGTATCTTATTTCTCACTTTGCAAATTGAATAATCTCAGAATAAAATATATTTAGGAGTTGCTGTTGACTACAAGACAGGATGTTTTCTATAGAATCTAGACTTCGGTAGCTATATACATCTATTAACTTAATATAATAATTTCATTTCATGTAACTTTTGATTGTATTGCACCCAAAACAAGATGAACATTATACACATTTTATATTCATATTTACAAAAAACAACCTCTTCTTCAGGAAAAAGAGCTTAATGAAAAAATTCCTGGAACAACACTGGAGATTTCAGAAAAGATTACTTCAGAAGAAGACAAGGAAAAGGAAATTGTAAAAAAAAGGTTGGGAAGAACAAAACAACCCAGAAAAGAGAGATTGTCATGGCCCAAATTCCAGTCAATGAAAAATAAAAAGATTTTGGGGCACAGAAGATCTCATAGTACATCAGATGCATATGAGCATGCTATACAAGATATTTCCCCAACAAGCACTGACACTGAGTCACAATTACAAGAAGAAGAATTCTGTGCTAAAGAGAAAAAAGGAAGCCAAAAGAAACTGAAGTTCCCTAATATTGGATTCAAAATGCATAGAACAAAAGCAGAAACGGAAGAGAAGCAGAGATTAGAAATAAAAACCGTGACACCAACAAAAAAGGATAAAATACGAAAAGAAGATATCAGCATGGAAACTCCAGAAATACTAACTGTACAATATACTATGTCTTCTGCACATGAAACAAAAGCAGGTGAAATACAAGAAAATGTCAAAAAAGACTTAAAAGACATGGAAAATGGCTTACCAATCTATACAAAGAAGTGCCCTGAAGTTGAAATTAACATTAAAAAACAAAAGGACCAGATAGCAATATCTAAACCTACTACTACAACACCACAAATACCACCAATAACAACACAAATATCAAAACCTACATCAGAAATACAAACACCTGGTCTCAAAGACACACAAAGCAAACAAATACCGCAAGCATTACCAAGGACCAGAAAAAAGAAACAAAAAGGTTCATCAGAACAAAAACCCACCAAAATTCTTCTACAACGTCCTGGAGAAGGAATAATAAATAAAGAAATGAGGGATCACCTAGAACACAGTTCTATTCAAATAAAAGGTCTAGAAATAAAAACAACAACAAAAGAAACAGGAAAAATAAAACAAGAAAAAGAGAAAAATGAAGAATGGGAGCAGGATCAGATGCAAATATCAGATATACAACAAGAAAAGTTTGGAATTGGCATCAATAAGGGAAAGCAGCCAGAAAGTGAAATCACATTACACGAAATGGAAACTGACATACAAAAGAAAACACTAAAAATGGAAGGACTGGAAATTGATAAGGAGGTCCCAAAAGCACCAGTGCAAATTGATCCTATGACAGAAGGCTCAGGCTGGAAAATCCAAATGCCATCACTCAAAATGCCCAAAATGCCTAAAGCAGACCTTCAAGCACCAAAGGTGGACATCACCCTCCCATCAGTAGACGTTTCTCTTCCAAAGGCCGAAGTGGACATTCAAGGCCCAGAAGCAACAGCTCAAGCGGTAAAGATAGAAGGTGAAATAAAAGCCACAGAGAAACATGCGAAAGGAAAAGAAAGGAAGTTCAAAATGCCAAAATTCGGCATGCCTTCATTTAGCTGGTCCACCACAAAAGAGACCAGTGGTGGCGTAGCAGATGTTGAAGCAAGCCTCAAAGAGCCCCAGGTGACAGTGCCGTCAGCTGGGGCAGAAGGAGAGATAACACTGTCAGGACCCGCAATCCAGGCTCCAAGTGCTGAACTGGAAATCGGGACTTCTGCAGGAAAAGATGGTGAGCAGGGGAAACTTAAAATGCCTGATGTTAAGCTGCCAAGTGTGAAGCTTCCCAAAGTCAAGGCTCCCCAGGTACAGGTCAGTCTGCCAAAGGTAGAGGCAGATATTTCCCTTCCCAAATCACAAGCCGAAATGAAAGAGGGGGGATTTGAAGTGAAAGTTCCCGCCATGGAAAGCAGTATTGAAGTTGAGACAGGGAAAGCAGAGGCAACAGGGATGCAAATACACATGCCAAAAGTCAAGATGCCTTCTACGGGATTTTCTAAACCTGAAATCAAAGCTCCCAAAGTAGACGTGGACGTTACTTTACCCAAAGCCGATGTCTCACTTCCCACGTGTGATGTCAGTCTTCAAGAAGCTGACCTGAAAGCAGCCTCCGTTCCTGCAGATGTCAAAATCTCAGCACCTGGAGTCAAGATTCCCAAAATAGAAGGTTCCTTTGAGCTGAAGGGTCCAGGAATTGAAGCGAAAGCACCATCAGCTGAAATTGCGGTGGAGGGAGCAGAGGTGAAAACTGCCGGTTTGGAAGGGAAAATTCAAATGCCTAAATTTGAAAAGCCAAAGTTTGGAGTTTCACTTCCAAAAGGCAAAGTGCCAGAAGGCGAGATCAGCTTACCCAAAATGGAAGCTGACATTCCCAAGCCAAAAGTCAAAGGCCAAGTGGGTGCAATCGGCGTGGAAACCCCGACGCTAGCAGTGGAAGCTGATGTTCCTGACCTAGAGACTGAAGCTTCCGGCTGGAAAATCCAAATGCCATCACTCAAAATGCCCAAAATGCCTAAAGCAGACCTTCAAGCACCAAAGGTGGACATCACCCTCCCATCAGTAGACGTTTCTCTTCCAAAGGCCGAGGTGGACATTCAAGGCCCGGAAGCAACAGCTCAAGCGGTAAAGATAGAAGGTGAAATAAAAGCCACAGAGAAAGATGCGAAAGGAAAAGAAAGGAAGTTCAAACTGCCAAAATTCGGCATGCCTTCATTTGGCTGGTCCACCACAAAAGAGACCAGTGGTGGCGTAGCAGATGTTGAAGCAAGCCTCAAAGAGCCCCAGGTGACAGTGCCGTCAGCTGGGGCAGAAGGAGAGATAACACTGTCAGGACCCGCAATCCAGGCTCCAAGTGCTGAACTGGAAATCGGGACTTCTGCAGGAAAAGATGGTGAGCAGGGGAAACTTAAAATGCCTGATGTTAAGCTGCCGAGTGTGAAGCTTCCCAAAGTCAAGGCTCCCCAGGTACAGGTCAGTCTGCCAAAGGTAGAGGCAGATATTTCCCTTCCCAAATCACAAGCCGAAATGAAAGAGGGGGATTTGAAGTGAAAGTTCCCGCCATGGAAAGCAGTATTGAAGTTGAGACAGGGAAAGCAGAGGCAACAGGGATGCAAATACACATGCCAAAAGTCAAGATGCCTTCTACGGGATTTTCTAAACCTGAAATCAAAGCTCCCAAAGTAGACGTGGACGTTACTTTACCCAAAGCCGATGTCTCACTTCCCACGTGTGATGTCAGTCTTCAAGAAGCTGACCTGAAAGCAGCCTCCGTTCCTGCAGATGTCAAAATCTCAGCACCTGGAGTCAAGATTCCCAAAATAGAAGGTTCCTTTGAGCTGAAGGGTCCAGGAATTGAAGCGAAGGCACCATCAGCTGAAATTGCGGTGGAGGGAGCAGAGGTGAAAACTGCCGGTTTGGAAGGGAAAATTCAAATGCCTAAATTTGAAAAGCCAAAGTTTGGAGTTTCACTTCCAAAAGGCAAAGTGCCAGAAGGCGAGATCAGCTTACCCAAAATGGAAGCTGACATTCCCAAGCCAAAAGTCAAAGGCCAAGTGGGTGCAATCGGCGTGGAAACCCCGACGCTAGCAGTGGAAGCTGATGTTCCTGACCTAGAGACTGAAGCTTCCGGCTGGAAAATCCAAATGCCATCACTCAAAATGCCCAAAATGCCTAAAGCAGACCTTCAAGCACCAAAGGTGGACATCACCCTCCCATCAGTAGACATTTCTCTTCCAAAGGCCGAGGTGGACATTCAAGGCCCGGAAGCAACAGCTCAAGCGGTAAAGATAGAAGGTGAAATAAAAGCCACAGAGAAAGATGCGAAAGGAAAAGAAAGGAAGTTCAAACTGCCAAAATTCGGCATGCCTTCATTTGGCTGGTCCACCACAAAAGAGACCAGTGGTGGCGTAGCAGATGTTGAAGCAAGCCTCAAAGAGCCCCAGGTGACAGTGCCGTCAGCTGGGGCAGAAGGAGAGATAACACTGTCAGGACCCGCAATCCAGGCTCCAAGTGCTGAACTGGAAATCGGGACTTCTGCAGGAAAAGATGGTGAGCAGGGGAAACTTAAAATGCCTGATGTTAAGCTGCCGAGTGTGAAGCTTCCCAAAGTCAAGGCTCCCCAGGTACAGGTCAGTCTGCCAAAGGTAGAGGCAGATATTTCCCTTCCCAAATCACAAGCCGAAATGAAAGAGGGGGATTTGAAGTGAAAGTTCCCGCCATGGAAAGCAGTATTGAAGTTGAGACAGGGAAAGCAGAGGCAACAGGGATGCAAATACACATGCCAAAAGTCAAGATGCCTTCTACGGGATTTTCTAAACCTGAAATCAAAGCTCCCAAAGTCGACGTGGACGTTACTTTACCCAAAGCCGATGTCTCACTTCCCACGTGTGATGTCAGTCTTCAAGAAGCTGACCTGAAAGCAGCCTCCGTTCCTGCAGATGTCAAAATCTCAGCACCTGGAGTCAAGATTCCCAAAATAGAAGGTTCCTTTGAGCTGAAGGGTCCAGGAATTGAAGCGAAGGCACCATCAGCTGAAATTGCGGTGGAGGGAGCAGAGGTGAAAACTGCCGGTTTAAGGAAGAAGGAAAAAACTAAATCCTAAATGAAAGAAAAGAGAGTGGGAGCTCCCCCAAAACCAAACCCAACAGAAGGGAAGCCCAGCTACCCAAACCAGAAAGCGGACACCCCAACCCAAAAAAAAAAAGCCCAAGGGGGGGCCAGCCGCGTGGAAACCCCGACGCTAGCAGTGGAAGCTGATGTTCCTGACCTAGAGACTGAAGCTTCCGGCTGGAAAATCCAAATGCCATCACTCAAAATGCCCAAAATGCCTAAAGCAGACCTTCAAGCACCAAAGGTGGACATCACCCTCCCATCAGTAGACGTTTCTCTTCCAAAGGCCGAGGTGGACATTCAAGGCCCAGAAGCAACAGCTCAAGCGGTAAAGATAGAAGGTGAAATAAAAGCCACAGAGAAAGATGCGAAAGGAAAAGAAAGTAAGTTCAAACTGCCAAAATTCGGCATGCCTTCATTTGGCTGGTCCACCACAAAAGAGACCAGTGGTGGCGTAGCAGATGTTGAAGCAAGCCTCAAAGAGCCCCAGGTGACAGTGCCGTCAGCTGGGGCAGAAGGAGAGATAACACTGTCAGGACCCGCAATCCAGGCTCCAAGTGCTGAACTGGAAATCGGGACTTCTGCAGGAAAAGATGGTGAGAAGGGGAAACTTAAAATGCCTGATGTTAAGCTGCCGAGTGTGAAGCTTCCCAAAGTCAAGGCTCCCCAGGTACAGGTCAGTCTGCCAAAGGTAGAGGCAGATATTTCCCTTCCCAAATCACAAGCCGAAATGAAAGAGGGGGATTTGAAGTGAAAGTTCCCGCCATGGAAAGCAGTATTGAAGTTGAGACAGGGAAAGCAGAGGCAACAGGGATGCAAATACACATGCCAAAAGTCAAGATGCCTTCTACGGGATTTTCTAAACCTGAAATCAAAGCTCCCAAAGTAGACGTGGACGTTACTTTACCCAAAGCCGATGTCTCACTTCCCACGTGTGATGTCAGTCTTCAAGAAGCTGACCTGAAAGCAGCCTCCGTTCCTGCAGATGTCAAAATCTCAGCACCTGGAGTCAAGATTCCCAAAATAGAAGGTTCCTTTGAGCTGAAGGGTCCAGGAATTGAAGCGAAGGCACCATCAGCTGAAATTGCGGTGGAGGGAGCAGAGGTGAAAACTGCCGGTTTGGAAGGGAAAATTCAAATGCCTAAATTTGAAAAGCCAAAGTTTGGAGTTTCACTTCCAAAAGGCAAAGTGCCAGAAGGCGAGATCAGCTTACCCAAAATGGAAGCTGACATTCCCAAGCCAAAAGTCAAAGGCCAAGTGGGTGCAATCGGCGTGGAAACCCCGACGCTAGCAGTGGAAGCTGATGTTCCTGACCTAGAGACTGAAGCTTCCGGCTGGAAAATCCAAATGCCATCACTCAAAATGCCCAAAATGCCTAAAGCAGACCTTCAAGCACCAAAGGTGGACATCACCCTCCCATCAGTAGACGTTTCTCTTCCAAAGGCCGAGGTGGACATTCAAGGCCCAGAAGCAACAGCTCAAGCGGTAAAGATAGAAGGTGAAATAAAAGCCACAGAGAAAGATGCGAAAGGAAAAGAAAGTAAGTTCAAACTGCCAAAATTCGGCATGCCTTCATTTGGCTGGTCCACCACAAAAGAGACCAGTGGTGGCGTAGCAGATGTTGAAGCAAGCCTCAAAGAGCCCCAGGTGACAGTGCCGTCAGCTGGGGCAGAAGGAGAGATAACACTGTCAGGACCCGCAATCCAGGCTCCAAGTGCTGAACTGGAAATCGGGACTTCTGCAGGAAAAGATGGTGAGAAGGGGAAACTTAAAATGCCTGATGTTAAGCTGCCGAGTGTGAAGCTTCCCAAAGTCAAGGCTCCCCAGGTACAGGTCAGTCTGCCAAAGGTAGAGGCAGATATTTCCCTTCCCAAATCACAAGCCGAAATGAAAGAGGGGGGATTTGAAGTGAAAGTTCCCGCCATGGAAAGCAGTATTGAAGTTGAGACAGGGAAAGCAGAGGCAACAGGGATGCAAATACACATGCCAAAAGTCAAGATGCCTTCTACGGGATTTTCTAAACCTGAAATCAAAGCTCCCAAAGTAGACGTGGACGTTACTTTACCCAAAGCCGATGTCTCACTTCCCACGTGTGATGTCAGTCTTCAAGAAGCTGACCTGAAAGCAGCCTCCGTTCCTGCAGATGTCAAAATCTCAGCACCTGGAGTCAAGATTCCCAAAATAGAAGGTTCCTTTGAGCTGAAGGGTCCAGGAATTGAAGCGAAGGCACCATCAGCTGAAATTGCGGTGGAGGGAGCAGAGGTGAAAACTGCCGGTTTGGAAGGGAAAATTCAAATGCCTAAATTTGAAAAGCCAAAGTTTGGAGTTTCACTTCCAAAAGGCAAAGTGCCAGAAGGCGAGATCAGCTTACCCAAAATGGAAGCTGACATTCCCAAGCCAAAAGTCAAAGGCCAAGTGGGTGCAATCGGCGTGGAAACCCCGACGCTAGCAGTGGAAGCTGATGTTCCTGACCTAGAGACTGAAGCTTCCGGCTGGAAAATCCAAATGCCATCACTCAAAATGCCCAAAATGCCTAAAGCAGACCTTCAAGCACCAAAGGTGGACATCACCCTCCCATCAGTAGACGTTTCTCTTCCAAAGGCCGAGGTGGACATTCAAGGCCCAGAAGCAACAGCTCAAGCGGTAAAGATAGAAGGTGAAATAAAAGCCACAGAGAAAGATGCGAAAGGAAAAGAAAGTAAGTTCAAACTGCCAAAATTCGGCATGCCTTCATTTGGCTGGTCCACCACAAAAGAGACCAGTGGTGGCGTAGCAGATGTTGAAGCAAGCCTCAAAGAGCCCCAGGTGACAGTGCCGTCAGCTGGGGCAGAAGGAGAGATAACACTGTCAGGACCCGCAATCCAGGCTCCAAGTGCTGAACTGGAAATCGGGACTTCTGCAGGAAAAGATGGTGAGAAGGGGAAACTTAAAATGCCTGATGTTAAGCTGCCGAGTGTGAAGCTTCCCAAAGTCAAGGCTCCCCAGGTACAGGTCAGTCTGCCAAAGGTAGAGGCAGATATTTCCCTTCCCAAATCACAAGCCGAAATGAAAGAGGGGGATTTGAAGTGAAAGTTCCCGCCATGGAAAGCAGTATTGAAGTTGAGACAGGGAAAGCAGAGGCAACAGGGATGCAAATACACATGCCAAAAGTCAAGATGCCTTCTACGGGATTTTCTAAACCTGAAATCAAAGCTCCCAAAGTAGACGTGGACGTTACTTTACCCAAAGCCGATGTCTCACTTCCCACGTGTGATGTCAGTCTTCAAGAAGCTGACCTGAAAGCAGCCTCCGTTCCTGCAGATGTCAAAATCTCAGCACCTGGAGTCAAGATTCCCAAAATAGAAGGTTCCTTTGAGCTGAAGGGTCCAGGAATTGAAGCGAAGGCACCATCAGCTGAAATTGCGGTGGAGGGAGCAGAGGTGAAAACTGCCGGTTTGGAAGGGAAAATTCAAATGCCTAAATTTGAAAAGCCAAAGTTTGGAGTTTCACTTCCAAAAGGCAAAGTGCCAGAAGGCGAGATCAGCTTACCCAAAATGGAAGCTGACATTCCCAAGCCAAAAGTCAAAGGCCAAGTGGGTGCAATCGGCGTGGAAACCCCGACGCTAGCAGTGGAAGCTGATGTTCCTGACCTAGAGACTGAAGCTTCCGGCTGGAAAATCCAAATGCCATCACTCAAAATGCCCAAAATGCCTAAAGCAGACCTTCAAGCACCAAAGGTGGACATCACCCTCCCATCAGTAGACGTTTCTCTTCCAAAGGCCGAGGTGGACATTCAAGGCCCAGAAGCAACAGCTCAAGCGGTAAAGATAGAAGGTGAAATAAAAGCCACAGAGAAAGATGCGAAAGGAAAAGAAAGTAAGTTCAAACTGCCAAAATTCGGCATGCCTTCATTTGGCTGGTCCACCACAAAAGAGACCAGTGGTGGCGTAGCAGATGTTGAAGCAAGCCTCAAAGAGCCCCAGGTGACAGTGCCGTCAGCTGGGGCAGAAGGAGAGATAACACTGTCAGGACCCGCAATCCAGGCTCCAAGTGCTGAACTGGAAATCGGGACTTCTGCAGGAAAAGATGGTGAGAAGGGGAAACTTAAAATGCCTGATGTTAAGCTGCCGAGTGTGAAGCTTCCCAAAGTCAAGGCTCCCCAGGTACAGGTCAGTCTGCCAAAGGTAGAGGCAGATATTTCCCTTCCCAAATCACAAGCCGAAATGAAAGAGGGGGATTTGAAGTGAAAGTTCCCACCATGGAAAGCAGTATTGAAGTTGAGACAGGGAAAGCAGAGGCAACAGGGATGCAAATACACATGCCAAAAGTCAAGATGCCTTCTACGGGATTTTCTAAACCTGAAATCAAAGCTCCCAAAGTAGACGTGGACGTTACTTTACCCAAAGCCGATGTCTCACTTCCCACGTGTGATGTCAGTCTTCAAGAAGCTGACCTGAAAGCAGCCTCCGTTCCTGCAGATGTCAAAATCTCAGCACCTGGAGTCAAGATTCCCAAAATAGAAGGTTCCTTTGAGCTGAAGGGTCCAGGAATTGAAGCGAAGGCACCATCAGCTGAAATTGCGGTGGAGGGAGCAGAGGTGAAAACTGCCGGTTTGGAAGGGAAAATTCAAATGCCTAAATTTGAAAAGCCAAAGTTTGGAGTTTCACTTCCAAAAGGCAAAGTGCCAGAAGGCGAGATCAGCTTACCCAAAATGGAAGCTGACATTCCCAAGCCAAAAGTCAAAGGCCAAGTGGGTGCAATCGGCGTGGAAACCCCGACGCTAGCAGTGGAAGCTGATGTTCCTGACCTAGAGACTGAAGCTTCCGGCTGGAAAATCCAAATGCCATCACTCAAAATGCCCAAAATGCCTAAAGCAGACCTTCAAGCACCAAAGGTGGACATCACCCTCCCATCAGTAGACGTTTCTCTTCCAAAGGTCGAGGTGGACATTCAAGGCCCAGAAGCAACAGCTCAAGCGGTAAAGATAGAAGGTGAAATAAAAGCCACAGATAAAGATGCTAAGGGAAAAGAAAGTAAGTTCAAAATGCCAAAATTCGGCATGCCTTCATTTGGCTGGTCCACCACAAAAGAGACCAGTGGTGGCATAGCAGATGTTGAATCAAGCCTCAAGGAGCCCCAGGTGACAGTGCCGTCAGCTGGGGCAGAAGGAGAGATAACACAGTCAGGACCTGTAATCCAGGCTCCAAGTGTTGGACTTGAAATTCCAAGTAGTTCTGGAAAAGATAGTGTTAAGGGGACATCTAAAATGCCTCATTTTAAAATTCCAAAGGTTTCAATTTCTAAGATACCGAAATCTGAAATTAGTGATCCCAAGTTGCAGGCTGATGTTTTTGACCCTATAACTGAAGCTAATGTAATAGCTGAAGGAATACCATTGAGGTTTTCAGGCCCTGAGAGTAGCGTGGACCTTCCTGAGTGTGGAGAAGATGTAAGGGTCAAAAGTGTTAATTTACCAAAATTTTGGATTCCTGATTTGGGTTTTTCCAAAGTTGATATCAGTGCCCGTATAGCTGACCAGGATCCAAACTTACTGAAAGATGATGTCACTCTTACTAAGTATCACATGAGTATTCAAGAACCCAAAGTGATATCTGGGTCTTCTGTTGGTGATGTAAGCATTCCAGAGACAGATATTAAAGTTGCAGTGACAGAAAGTTCCACTGAGCTGAAGAGTCCAGAAATAGTTGCTAAAATACCATCTGTTGACGTTGCTATAGATAGACGAGAAGTGAAGCTTGACGGTTTCGAAGGGAAGACTAAAATGCCTAAATTCCAAAAGATGAAGTTTGGAATTTCACTGCCTAAGGGAAAAATTCCAGAGACTGAGATCAGCCCACCCCAAATGGAAGCTGACATTTCCAAACCAAAAGAGATAGCTGAGGTTACTGAGATTGCTATTGAAACTTCATCTTTTGATGTTAAATGTGAAGTCTCTGATGCAAGAACAGAAGTGTCAGGCTTAAAAATGCAACTGCCATCGCTCAAAATGCCTCAAATACCTAAAGCTGATGGAGCACCAAAGGTGGACATCAGCCTCCCATCCGTTGATGTTACCATGCCAACAACAAAAGTAGACATTCGAGGCCCAGATTTAGAAAGTAAAGTGGTAAAGACTGAGAGTGAAATAAAATCTGGAGAAAAAGACATGGAAGGGAAAGAAAGCAAGTTCAAAATGCCAAAATTCAAACTCCCATCATTTCGTTGGTCACCAAAGAAAGAAGCAGTTGTTACATGTGATACTGAAGCAATCCTTGAGGAGCCTACTTTGGCCTCTTCTTTAGGAGAAACAGAAGCTGAATTAACATTAACTGTAGCTGAGGTTTGGTGCCCAAGTGTGGATCTCGAAAGTGATATGCCTATAGGTGAGAAGGAGAAAATTAAAAAGCCTCAGTTCAGCATGCCAAAGATATCACTTCCTAAAATGAAGGGTCACAAAGCACAGGTCTCTCTGCCAAAATTGGAAAGTGATGTTAGTGGTCCTAAACCAGAAAATGAAGGAGATGTTTCAGTGCAGATATCAGAGAAAGGAAGCGGTGGAGATGGAGAGGTTAATATCTCTACTTCAGAATTTTCAAAACCAGAAATCAAAGCTCCCAAAACGGATGTGGATGTTAGCTTACCTACGGTTGATGTCAAGCTTCCTACATATGATGTGACTATTCAACAAGCTGACTTGAAACTGACGTCTGCTGGTGCTGATGTCAGCCTGTCAGCCCCAGATATTAAGATTCCAACCTCAGAAGGGTCCATAGAGTTGCAAAGTCCAGAAACAGGAGTTGAAGGAATATCAGCTGGAATTGTTGTGGATGGAGCAGAGCTGAAAGCTGAAGGTCTTGAAGGGAAGATTAAAGTGCCCAAATTCCAAAAGCCAAAGTTTGGAATTTCACGTCGTAAAGGGAAAGTGCCAGAGAGTGAGATCAGCTTACCCAAAATGGAAGCTGATATTCCCCAGCTAAAAGTGATGACAGATATTATTGACGTTGCTGTGGAAGCACCAACAGTAGAAGTTGAATCTGCCATCCCTAATGCAGAAACAGAATCTTCAGGCTGGAAAATCAAAATGCCCAAAATACCTGAAGCTGATATCAAGACACCCAAAGTTGACATTAACCTCCAATCCAATGTTTCTGTTCCAATGGCAGAGATTGGTATTCAAGATTCAAATATGGCATCTAAAGCAACAATAGTTGAGGGAGAAATAAAACCTGGAGATACAGATATGGAAGGGAAAGAAGGACATTTCAAGTTGCCAAAATTCAAATTGCCATCATTTAGTTGGTCACCAAAAAAAGAAGCAAGCATTAAAGCCGATTTTGAAGAACTTCTGGAAGAGCCTAAAATTACTGTATCATCAGGCAAAACAGACACAAAACTAGCAGAAACTGTAACTGAGGATCAAGGTCCAAGCATGGATCTTGCTCTTGAAATATCTACAGGAAAAAAAGAACAAAAAAGCCAAATTAAAAAGCCTCAATTTATCATACCTAAAATTTCATTCTCCAAAATTAAGGTTCCTAAATCTCAGGTGAATCTGCCAAAAGTGGAAGCTGATGTTACTGTTCCTAAACCAGAAAGAGATGGAGAAGACTTAGTGCAGATACCTGATATAGAAAGCAGTCATACCAAAAGCATAGAAGAGGGAGCACAAATAAGCATAAAAATGCCAAAAGTTCAGATTCCTACTTTGGAATTTTCCAAACCAGAAATCAAAGTTCCCAAATCAGACATGGACATTAGCCTACCTAAGGTTGATGCCACCTTTCCTACAGATGATGTGAGTCTTCAACAAGCTGACCTCAAATCAGGGTCTGCTGGTGATGATGTCAGCTTGTCCACGGGTATTAAATTTCCCACAGCAGAAGCTTCCATTGAGCTGAAGAGTCCAGAAACAGGAATCGAAGGACCATTGGTGGTAGATGGAGCAGAAGTGAAAGTTGAAGGTCTTGAGGGGAAGATGACAATGCCTAAATTCCAAAAGCCAAAGTTTGGAATTTCACTTCCAAAAGGAAAAAGACCAGAAAGTGAGATCAGCTTACCCAAAATGGAAGCTGGAGTTCCCCAGCTTACAATGACAACAGATATTGCTGACATTGCTGTGGAAGCTCCAATACTAGAAGTTAAATCTGATGTCTCTGATGCAGAAATAGAGGTTTCAACTGGGAAAATGAAAATGCCTCAAGTTTCTATCACTGACATTAAAGCTCCAGAGATGGATGTTAGTCTCCCATCCATTTCTCTTTCAACCACAGAGGTGGCCTTTCAAAGCCCTGAGGTGGAGGATATGAAAGTGCAAGGAGAACATGAAATGAAGTCTGGAGAAATTCAGACTGAAGAACATCAGAGCTGGTTTAAAATGCCAAAATTTAGAATGCCAATATTTGGTCGGTCATCTTCTAAGGGAAAAAGAGATGACATTGATAGTGAAGGGAGCCTGGAAAAGCCACAAGTAAGTGCTCCTTCTGCTGAAATGCAAACTGAAATAGAAGCTCCTGAATATGCAACATCATTGCCACATGTGGACACTGAATCTGCTGCTGGAAAGGATGTTTTGGAAGGTAAAATCAAATCTGCTAAAGCAGAGATTCCAAAAGTGGGAGTTTCTCTCCACAAAGGTAAAAGTTCTGATGTTACTTCACCAAAGTTTGAAGCAGAAGTTTCACTACCTCCAGAAAAAGCAGTCATTAAAGTGAGCATTCCTGAAATGGAAACTTATGCTGATGTAGTTAAACGCGGTGCTGAAGGACAACAATTGAAAACACATACTCCAAAAATCATGATACCTAAGGTAGAACTCTCTACATCAGAAATTAGTGCTTCAAAAACTGGGGTGGACATCAGCTTACCAAAAGCTGACATTACACACCCTACATGTGATCTGACCCTTCAAGAACAAAAAGCCAAATCAGAGTGTGCAGAGGTTCCAACAGCAGAACATTCCATTGAGCTGAAGAGTCCAGAAATAGGCGCCAAAGCACCATCTGTTGAAATTGCTTTGGATGGAACACAGAAGAAATTAGATGTCCTCCCAAAAGTAGAGCTGGACATTCTACACGCAGGTGAAGGAGTTAAAACTGAAAAGCTAGGGGGTGTGATAAAATCTACAGGAAAGGATGTTCAAGGAAGAGAAAGTAAATTAAAAATGCCAAAATTCAGTGTACCCTCATTTGGATGGCCTGCCACAAAGGGAACAGGAAATGTTGCTGATGTTAAAACCAACCTTGAAGAGACCAAGATAGGTGCTCCGGGAATTAAAATGGATACTGAAATAAGTGTTGTAGACCATGAAATAGAATTTCCAGCTGAAAGTGTTGAAAAGGCTATTTCTGCAGGAGTCAGGGTGAAAGCAGAAGATGGAGATGAAGCAAGCAAAATAAAAACATCTAAATTTAAGATGCCAAAGTTTGGAGTGTTACATTCAAAAGCAAAGGGTTCTGAAGTTGATGTCTTTCTCCCAAAGTTAGAGGCTGATGTTTCACTGCCTAAAACTGAACTAGGCATAGTGGAAATCCAGTTTAAAAAAGCAGATGGCTCCATTGACCTGCAAAGTCCAAGTTCAGACGTTATGGAATCATCAACCAGGATTTCAGAGGACAAGGCAGACAAACAAACTGAAAGTGTAGAGGTAAATATTAAAATTCCCAAGTTAAAAATACCAGCCTTCACTTACAATGCACCCACAGCTGAAACTGACGTTTCAACATCAAAAGTGGCAACAGACTTGAAAGGTGCTGGTACTGACATTGAAGCACCAAAACTGGAAGTAAGCACTAAGATCCCTAAAGAAAGACCAGAACTTGCGGGTGGTAATATCCGAAGGCCATCAGTCAAAATTCCAACATTGGCTGAACGTGACATTAAAACCTCACAGGAATATGTTAAGCTCCCATCCACAGACTCTTCGGTTTCAAAAGCAGCACTACAAATTCAGGGACCACTTGCAGAGGGTAAAGAAATAAAGACACAAGGTGAAGTTGAATCTGGACATGTTGATATCGAAACACATGAGACTTACTCCTCTCAGATAGTGAAAGAATCTGAGATTCCTTCATCAGAAATTAAAACTGCTAGTTTTGGATTTTCACTTCTCAAAGTGAAGATACCTGAGTCACATGTTAAACTAGACATGCCAGTCAAACTGCAGTCTTATTCAGAATATAAACATGAGGTGTCTGAGAGTGAAGTTCACCAACCTAAACTTTCTGATGAAAATTTAGGGATAGCAATACAAAAGAGTGACACTGCTGAGTTTAAATTATCTGGCAAACCACAAAGTGAAACTGATGAATCTAATGATGTCGTATCTTCCAGTGTCAGTTTGCCAAAACTGAAAACATTTACAGTTGAAGTACAGCCTTCCAGTAAACTTGGAGACACTCAATCTGATAAGCAACCAGAGGAAATAGCTGTATCTCCTCTCTCTAAAGATGGTGAAATAGCTAAAATACCAGAAAATAAAGAAAAAGATATGAAGGATCAAAAAGAAAAAACTGACAGTAAAAGATCTTCTGGCAGATTCAAATTTTGGCTTCCAAGTATTGGGTTTTCTTCCTCCATTGATGACACAGGCTCAGATTCCAAACCTGAAGTCCAAAAATCAATTCCAGAAGAAACCCAACCTGTTGACTCTTCTGCATCAGATACTGACTCTTCTAAACAAACTGAAAAAACTGGATGGTTTAGATTTCCCAAATTAGGCTTTTCATCCCCTTCAAAAAAGGCTAAGAACATTGACAAAGAAGAAGAGACAAATCTAAAAGAAATGAAAACTTCAGATGATGAAAGTCCATCAGAGAAACCTGAAACATTTTTTGATGCAGAAGAAAATTTATCACCTAAAGAAGAAACAATTAAGGGTGAAGAAAATGAAAACACAGGGACCTCATCTAATGTTCACGTTTCTGGTGCTATAGTGACATCATCAGCAAGAACTGAATTAATCTTGTTGGACAGGGAAAGAGCTAGCCAGCAAAGTATTCTTGAAAAGACCACCAAATGAGTATTTTTTTCTGATCTATACATATATGGAAAATCTGAATGTAGAACAAACTAAGAGAAAAACATATGCCGAAAAATGCTGTCTTCCCAGAGAGTTTTCCAGAAGAAATGAAAGTGGAACAGAACTTAAAACTGACATTGATGAAAACAGTCTGTGGATCATTCCTCACCACACTGGCATTTGCAAACACATGAACATACTGTAAGTCCCAATGAAACATTTGTTTCATGAGATGTACCCAAGAAGAAACACACAACTACTGAGGAAAAGGAGGCATTCACACTTTTATCAAAGTCTGATAAAATTCTCCTAACCATGCAAAATAAAGTGTTGAATGGAGCAAAGATAGTGAAAAGATTTTATTAAATATAATTCTCTATAACATGCCGGTTGTGTTTAGGTTATAGATTATTTGCAAAAATGAATATAAAGCTAGTGCTATGAGGACTAGAAATATACATAACTGTTTAGATTTTATTTTATTAAATATATTTCTGCCTTGATGTTGCTTTCTTATAAAAATATATTTTCTTTATCTTAGATAGAGCAATATTTATATTCCATGATCATTTTAAAATGTAGAACAAACAGAAATAATACTGTAGATATGACAATTCTTCCCCCCCCCTCCACCCCCCAGTTAGTAGCGTGGATAATATTTAGCCTTAAAAAAAATAAAAACTTCAGGAAATGCTCCAGATTCCTGAAAAATATATACTGCTGATTCACATATTCAAAATACAAAAATAAAATATGGCAACTGAGAGGAAGAATAAAAAAAATTGGGGTAAGAAAGTTCACTATGTATATATTTATCAGAATAGTTAATGCATAGAATGGGGCGCATATGTGAGTGAAATCACTGGAAAGGTTTTTCCAGAGAAATAAGATGTAAATAGTTAGTTATTTACCTTTTGTTTATATCAGTGCTTCTCTTAAGTACATGACCAAAAAGGTAATACCATATATGTTAGCCATCACTGTACATGTATTACTAGAATGTTGAATGTATTCTCACTTCACAGTACAGTCACTGTATTGATAATAAATGCAACAACATTATTATTGTAATCATTTTTTTATTATGAAAACTACAATACAATATTGCTTGAAAGGTTGGGGTAACCCTAACTCTCTGATGAAGCTGATGTAGCTGCAACTTCAGTTAGGGGGGGAGAACTTTTTTTTAAGAGACATTGGTACTGGCCAATGACTAATCACCATTGTAATTCTGCATATTGTATTTTCACATATTCACTCACACATCTTTATCCCAGTTTCTTTATATTATTTTTTTGTTCCCACCTATTCAATTTAGTAGGGGCTAAGCAAATGCATCAGAAGAAAAAACTGGAATGTACTAGAGTGTATTTGGTGAGTCCAAAGTCATATCTTGCTAAATTAACACATTCTTCATCCCCTCCTCCTCGAGTTCTCAACTGTCCCAAAGGAGAATTCCACACATACTGCAGTCACAAATACAAAGTCCATCATTTCTCAACAGTTTCCACACAGAGGTACTGGACAACCCATATTATTTCAGGACAAGCTGGACTTCGTTGCGGCTTCTTTAAGTTGTGTCTGGCTGCTCACACAGCCCCAAGGGACCATTCAAGTTGCTTTCTTCAGTGATCCCTGGTTGATGGAATGGCCATAGGCAGGGGCGCACAGCTTAGAACAGAGCTAAGGAAGAGTATCATGGACAGACCAGAGAATCAGAAATGATGACCACTGTGATGCTGGAAAAAAAGGACATCCTGCTTTACAGCAATTCAAATAGAAGGAGACAATGATCTCAAGGCTTATTTCAAGTTCACAGAGAATTATAGTTAACAATAAATACATTAAAAATACTCTCAGGGTTGTATGCACTCTCTTAGCCCCACAAAATGAAATGCTCTAAGCAGCCCCCATGGGAATTAAATAGCACTACACATGTGAGACTGTTAGAAAGCAGAGAGTGAAATCCTTGAAAATGCAGTATAGAATCATAGAATCATAGAATATCAGGGTTGGACTCATCTAGTCCAACCCCCTTCTCAAAGCAAGACCAATCCCCAACCAAATCATCCCAGCCAGGGCTTTGTCAAGCCTGACCTTAAAAACCTCTAAGGAAGGAGATTCCACCACCTCCCTAGGTAACGCATTCCAGTGTTTCACCACCCTCCTAGTGAAAAAGTTTTTCCTAGTATCCAACCTAAACCTTCCCCACTGCAACTTGAGACCTTTACTCCTCGTTCTGTCATCTGCTACCACTGAGAATAGTCGAGAAGATCCATCCTCTTTGGAACCCCCTTTCAGATAGTTGAAAGCAGCTATCAAATCCCCCCTCATTCTTCTCTTCAGCAGACTAAATAATCCCAGTTCCCTCAGCCTCTCCTCATAAGTCATGTGTTCCACTCCCCTAATCATTTTTGTTGCCCTCCGCTGGACGTTTTCCAATTTTTCCACATCCTTCTTGTAGTGTGGGGCCCAAAACTGGACATAGTACTCCAGATGAGGCCTCAGCAATGTCGAATAGAGAGGAACGATCACGTCCCTCAATCTGCTGGCAATGCCCCTACTTACACATCCCAAAATGCCATTGGCCTTCTTGGCAACAAGGGCAAACTGTTGGCTCATATCCAGCTTCTCATCCACTGTAAGGTCCTTTTCTGCAGAACTGCTGCCTAGCCATTTGGTCCCTAGTCTGTAGCAGTGCATGGGATTCTTCCATCCTAAGTGCAGGACTCTGCATTTGTCCTTGTTGAACCTCATCAGATTTCTTTTGGCCCAATCCTCTAATTTGTCTAGGTCCCTCTGTATCCTATCCCTACCCTCCAGCGTATCTACCTCTCCTCCCAGTTTAGTGTCATCTGCAAACTTGCTGAGGGTGCAATCCACACCATCCTCCAGATCATTTATGAAGATATTGAACAAAACCAGCCGCAGGACCGACCCTTGGGGCACTCCACTTGATACCGGCTGCCAACTAGACAAGGAGCCATTGATCACTACCCGTTGAACCCGACGATCTAGCCAGCTTTCTATCCACCTTATCATCCATTCATCCAGCCCATACTTCTTTAACTTACTGGCAAGAATACTGTGGGAGACCATGTCAAAAGCTTTGCTAAAGTCAAGGAACAACACATCCACCGAGCCAGTTATCTCGTCATAGAAGGCAATTAGATTAGTCAGGCATGACTTGCCCTTGGTGAATCCATGCTGACTGTTCCTGATCACTTTCCTCTCCTCTAAGTGCTTCAGAATTGATTCCTTGAGGACCTGCTCCATGATTTTTCCAGGGCCTGACGTGAGGCTGACTGGCCTGTAGTTCCCAGGATCCTTCTTCTTCCCTTTTTTAAAGATGGGCACTACATTAGAATCATAGAATTATAGAATCATAGAATATCAGGGTTGGAAGGGACCCCAGAAGGTCATCTAGTCCAACCCCCTGCTCGAAGCAGGACCAATTCCCAGTTAAATCATCCTAGCCAGGGCTTTGTCAAGCCTGACCTTAAAAACCTCTAAGGAAGGAGATTCTACCACCTCCCTAGGTAATGCATTCCAGTGTTTCACCACCCTCATAGTGAAAAAGTTTTTCCTAATATCCAATCTAAACCTCCCCCACTGCAACTTGAGACCATTACTCCTCGTTCTGTCATCTGCTACCATTGAGAACAGTCTAGAGCCATCCTCTTTGGAACCCCCTTTCAGGTAGTTGAAAGCAGCTATCAAATCCTCCCTCATTCTTCTCTTCTGCAGGCTAAACAATCCCAGCTCCCTCAGCCTCTCCTCATAAGTCATGTGTTCTAGACCCCTAATCATTTTTGTTGCCCTTCGCTGGACTCTCTCCAATTTATCCACATCCTTCTTGTAGTGTGGGGCCCAAAACTGGACACAGTACTCCAGATGAGGCCTCACCAATGTCGAATAGAGGGGAACGATCACGTCCCTCGATCTGCTCGCTATGCCCCTACTTATACATCCCAAAATGCCATTGGCCTTCTTGGCAACAAGGGCACACATTAGCCTTTTTCCAGTCATCAGGACTTCCCTGGATCGCCATGAGTTTTCAGAGATAATGGGCAATGGCTCTGCAATCACATCCGCCAACTCCTTTAGCACTCTCGGATGCCGCGCATCTGTCCCCATGGACTTGTGCTTGTCCAGCTTTTCTAAACAGTCCCAAACCACTTCTTTCTTCCCAGAGGGCTGGTCACCTCCTCCCCATGCTATGCTGCCCAGTGCTGCCTTGTTTGTGAAGACAGAGGCAAAAAAAGCATTGAGTACATTAGCTTTTTCCACATCCTCTGTCATTAGGTTGCCTCCCTCATTCAGTAAGGGGCCCACACTTTCCTTGACTTTCTTCTTGTTGCTAACATACCTGAAGAAACCCTTCTTATTACTCTTAACATCTCTTGCTAGCTGCACCTCCAGGTGTGATTTGGCCTTCCTGATTTCACTCCTGCATGCCCGAGCAATATTTTTATACTCTTCCCTGGTCATTTGTCCAATCTTCCACTTCTTGTAAGCTTCTTTTTTGTGTTTAAGATCAGCAAGGATTTCACTGTTAAGCCAAGCTGGTCGCCTGCCATATTTACTATTCTTTCTACACATCAAGATGGTTTGTCCCTGTAACCTCAATAAGGATTCTTTAAAATACAGCCAGCTCTCCTGGACTCCTTTCCCCCTCATGTTATTCTCCCAGGGGATCTTGCCCATCAGATCCCTGAGGTTGTCAAAGTCTGCTTTTCTGAAGTCCAGGGTCTGTATTCTGCTGCTCTCCTTTCTTCTCTGTGTCAGGATCCTGAACTCGACCATCTCATGGTCACTGCCTCCCAGGTTCCCATCCACTTTTGCTTCCCCTACTAATTCTTCCCGGTTTGTGAGCAGCAGGTCAAGAAGAGCTCTGCCCCTAGTTGATTCCTCCAGCACTTGGACCAAGAAATTGTCCCCTACACTTTCCAAAAACTTCCTAGATTGTCTGTGCGCCGCTGTATTGCTCTCCCAGCAGATATCGGGGTGATTGAAGTCTCCCATGAGAATCAGGGCCTGCGATCTAGTAACTTCCGTTAGTTGCTGGAAGAAAGCCTCGTCCACCTCATTCCCCTGGTCCGGTGGTCTATAGCAGACTCCCACCACGACGTCACCCTTATTGCTCACGCTTCTAAACTTAATCCAGAGACACTCAGGTTTTTCTGCAGTTTCATACCGGAGCTCTGAGCAGTCATACTGCTCTCTTACATACAGTGCAACTCCCCCACCTTTTCTGCCCTGCCCGTTCTACCTGAATAGTTTATATCTATCCATGACAGTACTCCAGTCATGTGAGTTATCCCACCAAGTCTCTGTTATTCCAATCATATCATAATTTCTTGACTGTGCCAGGACTTCCAGTTCTCCCTGCTTGTTTCCCAGACTTCTTGCATTTGTACATAAGCACTCGAGATAACTTGCTGTTTGTCCTGCTTTCTTAGTGTGAGGCAGAAAGCCCTCCCCTTTCGCGTTCTCCTGCTCGTGCTTCCTCCCAGTATCCCACATCCCCACTTACCTCAGGGCTTTGGTCTCCTTCCCTTGGTGAACCTAGTTTAAAGCCCTCATCACTAGGTTAGCCAGCCTGCTTCCGAAGATGCTCTTCTGTCTCTTCGTTAGGTGGAGCCCATCTTTCTGCCTAGCACTCCTCCTTCTTGGAACACCATCCCATGGTCCCATCGTGAATCCTAGCTCCTGGCAAGCAGCAGACTTCTCGGTTTTTCCAGTCGGGGCAGCAGATAGATGACTCAGTCCCTCTGAGAAGAGAGTCCCCGACCACCACCACCCGCCTCCTTCTCTTGGGAGCGGTGGTCGTGGAACCCCCATCCCTAGGACAGTGCATCTCATGCCTTCCAATCAGCGGAGTCTCCTTCTGTTCCCTTCCCTCAGATGTATCATCTAGTCCACTCTCCGCATTAGTACCTGTGGAGAGAACATGAAAATGGTTGCTTACCTGTATCTGCGCTGCTGGTACATGGATGCTCCCCTTTCTTCTTCTGGAGGTCACATGCTGCCAAATTTCTTCACCGTCCTCCTGTCCCCAC